TCCGCCTGACACCCACGTTCTGCAGGCGCGGGAGGCCGCAGCGCGCCCTCTGCTGGTGCTTCGTGGGATTGACGCGCCGCACCTTGGCTTTGAGGAGGGAAAAATAATCAGGACTTTGGGGGTTCACTGCAAAGACTCAGAACCACGGCAGGACCTTTTAGGACCTAGTTTGATCCCTTCGTCTTACATGTGGGGAAACAGATGGCCTGGAGCTCTTTCAGGCCTCTGGGCAGAGGCGCACAACTCATGTAAATGCCTGGCAGATGCACCGTTTACAGAAGGAAGTCAGGGCTCAGGTCCGGCTGTGGAGGCCCCGCGGGCCCCTCGACCCCGCTCACTTCCTCCCTCACCTTCGGTTCACTGCCTGGCCATCCTGGAAAGCCTCCGCGGGTACACACGGGCCTGTGGTGTGGCACGCACTCGGCAGCCATACTTTTCTACCTGTGACCCAGGTACACAAATACTTCTTTCAGAGAATTTTACAGTACAGCAAGAGAACATCTTCTCCAATGTAGGCCCAGTTTTACCTTAAAATGCCCACCGTGCAGTGTGAATGCAGTGTAGGGTCTGGTGCCTTCCTGCAGCCCGCCCTGCAAAAACTTTAAAAGTTAGGGGTTTTGCTTTTGGAGAGAAACAACTTCTCCAAACTTCCTCCTGCAGAGCACAGAGCAACACCCCAGCTCTCTTCAGCCCCAAGGAAGTGACAGAAGGCACAGACCTGGGTCCTGGAGGCCAGGATACAGTTGAGGGTGGCAGGGGTGGTAACCCAGTGTGAAGATCTCCCTCTGTTCCTTCCTTTCTTAGAAAAGACCCTTGCCATCCTCAAGGACATGGTCCTTTGAGGCAAATAGGCCTTATGTCTTTGGAGCTGGCTTTGAATAAGACCTTTCTCCTTTTAGCCCACATATGTGGCCTCTCTTTGATTTGGTCAGTGGAGCAGAAGAGCTGGAGTGGCCGGTACCTCCCGGGGCTGGGCTGGACCTGGGCTCCGCACTTCCTTTCCGGGCTCTCTCAATGGGGCGGGCCTGTACTCACTGCTCCCTGGAGATCCCCAGGACTGCAGGGGCTGAGTCTACCCAGGCTGTGACCTGAGAGCTGTCCCAGCCCCTCATTTAATTGGTGGGATGGGAGGCCCGGGCAGGGGCTGCGGCTGTGGCTCATCCTCTGGGGTGATGTGGAGCCCAGCCTCGGCCTGCTGTGTCGGGGCACTGGGCACCCTTCCTGTCACAGCTCAGAACGCATCTGTTGGGCTTGGGCTGAGCTCCTGGCCGAGAGCTCTCTGACTGGCTGGGAAACACAGCCTAACACCAGAGCCAGTAGGCTGGGGCACTAGGCAGGGAACAGATGGCATGCACGAGAGAGAGAGAGAGAGAGAGAGAGAGAGAGAGAGAGGGAGAGAGAGAGAATATGAATGGTGGTACAACTGTGCCCCAGGAGCCTCCACGCTAAGCAGGCCCAGGCCTCCGTCTCACCGCACTCAGAGCGCAGGTCCAGGAGTGGGACTGGGAGAGGCTGGGCAGAGGTTGAAGGTCTTATAGAAATCACTGCAGCTGGAGGAGGCATCCAGACAGGAACCCAGAGTTAGGGTTTCTCAGGTGACCTTTGCAGTAGGTTCAGCTGACTCACACACCAACGACTCAGGCGGTGAACAGAAATGTGGACATGGGACGTCTCATGAAGCTGTTTCTCTGTCTAGAGAAATCTTGGCACATGTTCTTGTGTGTGCTAGCATGTTTATTGTAATTATTTTTGTAGCCCTTGACAGTAGTTAACATTTACTGCTCTTGGGATGACTGGCTGAGAGGCGAGGTGTGGCCAACAAATCTGAGCAGGAACCAGCAGAAAACAAACAGCGAATACCAGGCAAGGACCCCAGAGCCTCCTCAGAAAGGGCCCTTCCTTGATCTACCTCTTCAGAAATGTGGGCTTTAGAGGAAATGTAAAAGGAGACTTGATCAATTAGCAAACCAAGAATCTCCTGTTTGAACTGGTGACTTGGGAGCCTTAGTGATATTCATTTTCCTTCCATCCCCAACATGATGTGCTTTTGCCCAATTTCATATGCATAAGATTGTTGCATCGGTTGATTTAGATCATAAAAGTAAATGTTTGATGACAGTAGTGCTGGGTTTGGTAAGGAAGGTGCCACTGGCTGGATCGTGGCCAATAGACAACCGTGTTTCTGTCCCTCCAGAGACAAGACTTGGAGCTTGGCTTCCATTCTACCCCCACTTCTGGATGAGAGGTAAGAGCTATTACCCGGAACAAGAAAAGAGGAAATAAAGACACAAGGTGGAAAATCACAAAACCTGAAACTCATTTTTTTAAAAAAAGGCAAAGAAAGGAAGTTCTTAAGAAAAGTCTTTCATCAGGCTTCTTCGTTGGTGCTGGATTTATTGAACACGTTTACTGAGCACCTACTACCAGCCACAATTCTTTCGAATTTGGGGAAACTTCAAGATGCCTGCCATCCTGCAGCCCACAGTTTAGATCCCAGAGTTGCCTTCCCCTGATGGTCTCTCTCCTTTCTCTTTTTCTTCCTTTATGTTGGGTATGCAGCACTTATTCCAGGGATCAGAGCAAGTGTCGCTTCTTTTCTCACCAGCATGGCAGAAAAAAAGCCTGCATTTCCCACTTTGCATGAGGCAAATTGTGTTTCTAATTCCCGGTGGAATATCCCCTGTGGACACAACAGAGCGGGATGCACAGTGAGTTCACGCTGTTCAGAAAGTAAAGGACGACCCCAGAGCAGCGCCAGTGGTTTGCCATATTCTTATAAAACTCTCCGTCTTTGAGCAACTGCCAACTACCTAGCTTTGGTTTCTCAGCCTTGAGGTAGGAGCAACAGTTCATGCTCACAGTGTTGCCAGGAGGGTGGCATAGCATGCTGTGTGATGACCACCTGGCTCACCACAGGCCCCTTGAAAAGGTTATTCCACTCCACCAGGCTTGTCCAGCCTGGAGATAGATCAGTGCTTGTATTTCTGCAATAAAATAAGGAAATAAAGCCACGACTTTGGGGTTTGTAAATACAAGCATCTCAAACTCTCCTAAGGGAGGCACTTTGGGAAGGAAATGGTTCTAAGAAAGACCTTTCTGATGTCTGCAAACGCTGTTTATCATCATTATTAGAAACAATACTTTGGGGGGGGGGCTCATGTCTGTAATCCTAGCACTCTAGAAGGCTGTGGCAGGAGTCCAGCCTTGGCAACTTAGTGACTCAATAAGACTTTGTCTCAAAATCAGAAAAACAGAATGGCTGGGAATACAGCTCAGTGTGCAGACCCTGATCCACTCTCCAGTGCCACAAACAGCAGCATAGCATTGAGCTTGCTTGATTATAAAAATAATCCAGTACGATAACCGTTCCATAGCCACACAGCGAAGGCTCTGCGGTCCCATCACTGCTGCCCTGTCCTACCTGGGAGGGGGCAGCAGAGGAGACCTGGATTCCACCTCTGGTAAAAGCGAAGGAGCCAACAGCTGCCGGAGCCGGGATCTGGATTCTAGTTCTATTCCCATCGCTCATCGTCCCTCCTCGGACAGTCCACTTCCAAGGCCACTGCTCTGCTTTCTCGTCAGCTGTCTAGGAGAGCTGGAGGATCACGACTGCAGAGGGAAGATCTGTGGCCCTCGCTCTTCGCTGCACGGCCGCAGGTTAGCACTCTCGCTGCCCCTTGGTTCTCTCTGAGGACCCTGGGGCCGCAGCGCTCTCTGCTTCCCTTCCAGCCTGACACTGCGATGATCACTGTTTCCTCAGAATCCCCTGAGACTGCGGGAGCGCTGCCTGTCTGTGTCAGGGTAAAGAGGTTATTCTGGCTCATGTTACAACCCTTATTTGGCTTTAAATTTTTTTTCCTAAGAGAGATCAAAGGGGTCCATGGCTGAGCCCCGGAGGGGACCACCTGCAGCCATTACCGATACCCAGATGCCCCCGAACTGCCACGCATCGGCCACACACACAGGGCTCTCCGTCACCCCTTCCTTCACCAGCGCTGTCCGGGAGACATTTACCTGCATTCCTCTGGACCAAACAGGAGCAAACCACAAAAAGAAAGATGCGTCTCATGTTTTACAGTTCCCTTGGACCTCTCCGCCCTTCCGTGCAGGAAAGAAACTGAGAGACGTGAGCTGGAGTGGGTGGAAAAGGAGAAAATGTGGCCTTTATAGGTTTTTGAGAGCACGAATCAGGGAAGAGCTCATTTATCTGCTCTACTGAGTAAGGCTGTGGGCAGAAAGTGCTGGGCAGTATTCCCTTTCTGCCTAAAAATAGACGGGCTAGGGGAAAGGGAATAAGGGAAAAGAAAAAAATATGAGAAAATGAAAAAATGGAAATAAAGTGTTTGTAAGTGGGGAGGGGGAGAAGGGAGGGCAGGGACAAGGGGAAAAAATAAGAACCAAGACCTGCCATGTAAAGGTGCAAGGTCCCAGTGATGAATGTAACTGTACTGTCTACCTAGAATGTACCGATAAACGCAATTTTAAAAAATAAAAATAGACTGGCTTTTTGGAGTTCCCTGGGAACAGGGGCAGACCAACAATTTGATACGTGGGACGTGGACAGGTGAGAGACCCAACACTGAAGGGCGGTTGAATACTGTCCAGCACGAGGGCAGGAGATGGAGGCAGAGGTGTGCAGAGAGGAGCTCACTCCCTGCTTCAGGGTCCTGGCCCAGGGATGGTGTCCACTGTGGGAGAATTCACTGAGGGGCTGCGGCCCAGGACAGCACTTGGGAACGTCTGCAACAGAAACGAAGGCCCGGTGTTTCTTGTTGCATTGTTCCCTACGGTCAACAGAGCACGCCCCACGTAGCACATTGTGGCAGAAAGGAAAAAAATGCATCGCCACAACAGTGCACAAAGAAAAGCACAAGGACAGCCACAGGCGCCCTCACAAACACACTGGGTGAAGAGGGTCCGACGCTGGGTGCCAGGTTACTCTACACATTCATAAGACTGACCTAGTTATTTTAAACCAGAGGAAGAGGACAGATTCTCCTCTCGCTGGGGAGGGTCTGTCCAGGGGCTGTGCCCTCCTGTGCCTGCTGGGCCCCACTGTGGCCCGGGTTAGGTTCCCCAGCAGGTGCTATACCGAGGCAGCCGCGGGTACAGCTGCTCATTTCCCCGCTACGTGACTTCAGTCTGAGGATCATTTGGGTTTGTTTCTCTTAAAATCCTCTCAATAAAGGTGACATTGGAAGGCAGCCATTACATCCCAATCTCCAAACCTCTGTGACCACTGAGAAGAGTTTCTTATTAACTCTTCCGGGGGTTCCTACGCCTATACAGCCATGTTTGAATCTCTTTTTACCTAAACATCAGCAGGCTTTATGCATCATCCCAAACTTGCCTTTTCTGTTTAGTGTATATCTCTGAGAGCTTTGTAAGTATGCGAATGGAGAGCCTTCCTTTTCTCTATATCAGCACTGTGCTATTTCCTGTAGGCTGACTTCTACCTTGTTTAACCAACCTGAAACAAACATGTTTGACCTAGACTCTTGTGTAGACAGTGTGTTCTGAAAAAGAGACACGAGCCTGGCCCCAGGCCCACTGCAGAGGCTCTGAGAATGAATGAAGTATCTGTTACAAGAATTCTTGTCTAAATGAGAACCAAGACCTGGCATGTAAAGGTACAAGATCCCACTAATGAATGTAACTGTACTGTCTACCTAGAATGTACCAATAAATTCAATTAAAAAAATAATTCTTGTCTAACAAAACTATTAGCAAACATTTCCAAAGAGGAGTCATTCTTATAGAAGACATCTTTGTACATTGGACAATAAAATGCATGTTTTACACTTTTATATTCATTCTTTCTATTTAAAGTCAACTTATTTGGAAAACTGTCTCTGTGTCCTTTTATTGTTGTTAATGTGGTGGCTTTGGTGCTGGGGATGGAACCCAGGGCCTTGCACACACTGTACAAGTGCTTGACTGTGGGGCTCACTCTCAGTTCTAGAAAAGGATTAAGGTAGAGCTTGATTGTACCCTTTCCTACAACATAGCCACTAGTAAATTAATTATGAAATTATGCTTTTGGAATTTTCTGTGTAGTCTGGAAAACTTAAAGAGCTATTTTGGAAAATCAGCTCATTTAGGGGGAAGTCAGTTAATAGTGTTAAAGAATGGCTGCTATCAAGAAATCAACCAATAACAAATGCTGGCGGGGTTGTGGGGAGAAATGAACCCTTCTCCACTGTTGGTGGGAGTGCAGACTGGTGCAACCACTGTGGAAATCAATATGGAGATACCTCAAACAATTGGGATTGAAAGTTCCATTTGACCCAGCTATTCCTCTCCTGGGTAACTTCCCAAAAGAATTAAGAGTCAGACCACAGCAATATATGCTCACCCATGTTTATAGTGGCGCAGTTTGTAATAGCTAAAATGTGGAAGCAGCCCAAATGCACATCAGCTGGAGACTGGATAAAGAAAATGCGCTTTTTTAATAAAACGGAATGCTACTCAGCCTTAAAGAATGAGAAACTAGAAACATTTATAGCTTAGTGGATGCACATGGAAGCCATACTCTTAAGTGAAATTAATAGGACACATATAATAGTTTCTCTGGTGTGAAAAACTAAAAGTGCAAATAAGGATCAAAATGTATAATTGATATTGTATAATAGGAAGAAAAGGGTCTAAAGTAGGGGAAGCAGGAGGGGCAGGTAAGAAGGGAAAAGAAAAAATATGTGAAAAGGAAGAACAGGGAAACAATGTCATTGTAAACAGGGAAGGGTGGAGGGGTGATGGGAGGACAGGGGAATGGGGAAAAACAAGAACAAAGATAAGTCATGTAAAGCAACAAGATCCCAATGATGAATGTAACTATTGTATACTTTAAATGTACCAGTAAACTTAGTAAAAAAAAAAAATAGTGTTAGGTTTTCCATCCACCTTCTCCTTAGTCTTAAATCTGTTTCCAAATCACAGTCTCAGAAAGCAACTCCCAAGGGAGAATCTCACAAACAGTCCTGGAGAATAAGGTGCACCAACCCAAAGGTGACGGACCAGAAAATCGAGCTCCTTGACCAGTTTCCTCAATATCTGCTCAGAGGTTCACAACTCGCGTAATTGCAGGGCTGAAAGAGCTGTTTCTCAGTGTCCCCAACACAAGATAATTACAGTGTGATGTGCGTTACGCTCCCGAGTGGAAGAGGACGACGTAAGGAGGAGAGCAGAGGCACAGCGGGGTTTGCAGACAGCATAGGTGTCACTTAATTAGATAAACAGGTATGATGTACACAGGATGTCTATAATATCTAAATCTATATCTATGTATGTGTGAAAAATGTGGTATAAGTATAATTGGTACCCCAATTTTAAATGGGGTAAATTTGAGCCATTTGTAGGAAAACGCATGCACCTTTAACCATAAATTTAAGTAAAATAAATTGCACACAGAAGCTTCAATATCACACTGTTTTTCATATACAAGTAACAAATTATAAAAGAGCAAAATGAAAGATAGGGCCAGTGATTTAGTTCAGTGGTTCCTCTGCCTGCCTTGCAAGCACAAGGACCCAAGTTCGATCCTGATACCAAACAAACAAATAAACAAAAACAACGAATCAACAAAATAAAAGATAGATAAGAGGAAGTAGGGAGATGGCTTTTTCTCAAGGGCAAAGGAGATCAAGAGAAGGAGGGAGGGGGAGGGTGGGGGAAGGGATGAAGAAAGGAATTAAGATGTTCTGGCCATGTACTGACTCGAGGAAGGTAAGCATTATGTGATGGAAACATATACTAATGCAGAAAACAATCTGAAAAAAATCCAAAAAATTTGAAATGGCCAAAGAAGCTCATGAAACTGTTGTTAGCACCATTAGTCATCAGAAGGATGCAAATAAAAGGGAGTACTACTCAGCCATAAAGAATGAGAAGCTAGAGACATTTATAGCTAAATGGATGCACACCGAGGCCGTACTCGTAAGTGAAATAGATAGGACCCACATGTGTAAATATGGAATAGTTTCTCTCATGTGAGAAACTGAAAGTATTAATAGGATCAAAACGTATAATTGATATTGTGTAATAGGAAGAAAAGGTCCAAAGGGGAAGGGAAAGTGCGAGGGGTAGGGGTGAGGAAAGAAGGGAATGGAATAAATATGAGCAAAGGGGAAAAAACCGTAAGAGATATCACTTTATAGTCGCCTGTATAGCTATAAAAAATTAAAAATCCTGGAAATAGCATTGTAGACGAGGATATAGAAATTGGACTGTTTAAATATTGCCGATGAGACTGTAAAACAGTGCAGCAGTGGTGTGAGAGGGCATTTTTGGTTCCTGAAAAGGCCAAAAATAGAGTTATAAGTAGTTGTCTCCTTGGTTTGCACAGAAGAGCAGTGGAAACGATGCACGTGCGTGTGTAATAGCACTTTTTCCTCAGCCAGAGTGGAAACATGCAAGTTTGACTGATGACCCAGTAAGCAGACTGTAGTATAATTCACAACATGGAATACTATTCACCCGTGGAAAGGAATGAGCACCTGATTCATGCTTCAACACGGATTAACCTTGGAAAACCGGGATTAAATGAAAAAAAAACAGGCAAAAACGGCCACATATTGTTTGATTTCACTCATGTGAAATATGCAAAGCTGGTAAGTGGTACCGGAAGTCAGAGGAGCCAAAGGCTGCGGGACTCCCGGGCACAACCTGAGCAAGCACGAGGAGGGAGTGATGTTGAGATGTAATTGTGGCCACCGTTTATTAGTTTTAAAAATCACAGGAATTGGCCAGTTAACAGGGCTTCATCTTTTCAGATGAAATCAGTGAAATGATATCACAAAACTTTTGGTGTAAGAAGAAGAAATTAGCTTCAAATGGAGGTTCTAGAAAAGGACAAGAACAGTACAGCTTCCCCCTGCACTGGATCCTGAAAGCTCAAAAGGACCAGACCAGTGCCTCAGCAATCCACCCGCCAAAGCCCTGAGCCCCACAGAGACCCGTCCATCAGCTGGTTCCCAGCTCTCCTGCAAGGTGGCTGTCCTTCAGCTTGCTTGGGAAGCTTTGGTCTCTCGGGAAAGAGACTCACGAGCCCAGTCGCTTTTCACTGGGAAGCGCTGCCTTTATTTTGCTCTTATTAATAAGGGGATTCCCTCCACACAGCTGGTTCCTTTCCCATAACCCAAGACATGACGGTGAGCCAGACTGGAGCAGGCCGGGCTGCAGGGCTGCAGTGACCACTGGCTGCGTGGACAAGGAGGAAAGGCGAGGTGTGGCCACCGGGAAGCCAGGTAGAGAGAGGCAGACTGAACCCGCCCTCCCCACTCAGCCCCACAGGCCTGGGAATGAGAAAAAATAGACTTCCCAACCACCAGGGAACTGAGGGGTGGATGAGGCAGAGGGATCAAAGCCGTGGGACGCCTCGGAGGGCACAGGGGGAGGCAGGACACTGGGGCAAGGTGGGTGGTGCAGGGGCAGAAGGCAAGGCGGTCAGCCGCGTCAGCGGGCTCTGTCCCCCGGGGGAATTGCCGCTCTCAGGATCTTCCCACCAGGCACAGCTCGTGTCCATAAAGCCCGTCACAGCTGGCTGAGTGCATTCTCCAGGTGTTGGCAAGGAGAACAAAGGTGCTGGGACTAATGGGCTTCCCTGCTGCAGACCTGACCTTGAGTCCACGGTGTTCACTCTGCATCTCCAAAAAGAAATGCAAAAATTACCCATGAGGATAAGATGTCCGTTTTACTTGTGTTTTATGAGTCTGAGCTAGTCTTCAAACTCTTCTTGGGATAGCACGTTTTAATGTCGTAGTTTTCTTGTATTAGCCCATGTGTGTAGTGCGTGGTGCTTACATCCATCTTGGGGAGTGGGTGTATGCACAGAGCACGGCTTGTTCCTTTTTTTGTTTTTTGTACCAGTTATCGAACTCAGGACCTTGTGCTTGTGAGGCAGGAGGCAAAACCACTGAGACAAATCCTTGTCCCACGTGTTCCTTTTTTTAGTCCCTTCCCCTCCCTCCCTCTTCCTCTGCATCCCCTTTCCCCATTTTCATTCTGGTTGTCATATTACCCTAGTGCCAAGGAAGTTCTTCCTTAGGTAAAATATACAACTGTTTTTGATGTGCCTTAAGTCTACTACAGAATAGCTGTGTGATCAAAGAATGACTTTATGTATATGTGTGTCTTTAGCCTTAAGGACATTCTTTTGTTCTTTAAACCCCATTTAAAGTTTAAGTGTAATGCACTAACTTGTATTTTAAAGATCAAATAATTAAAAATCAATAATTTCAACACTGGAGTCTTTATGGCTTTTGGAAACATTTCGACAATTAATTTTACATCAAATATAGGAGCATTTGCATTATTTAATTTCCAGGACAGAAAATGATCTCGTAATTTTTGCCTGATGCACTTCTAAGGGTTTTCAGTTGCATTTGTATATATTGTACCTGTGATGTATAATATGTTTGTTTGTTGGTTTGTTTGTGTTTTGGGTGCCGGGTATAATATGTTTGTAAGTAGAGACCCCAGAGTTCACAAAGTGATTTCTCTATTTTGAACATGCAGATTTTTTTTCAAAAAGTTTTTCAAAACGTTTGGCCTTCTGTGGATCCTTTCTAAGGAGCAGAGGAGCTGAGATGGTGAGAATGAGCCAACGCTGTCTTGCACGCACGCTGGCGGGTCGGCTCACAAAAGGGTCACACAGACTGCTGTGCTTCTGACTCTGTGAGAAGCTGGGTGCTGGGTGCCTCCACCTGTCCCTGGAAGCAGTCTTGGGAGGATGCCTGTGTATGAGCTCTGCTGGTAACGCTTTTACCAGAGGGACGCAGGGAAAGGCAGCGCTGCAGCACTGTGAGCCTTGGGATCCTGAGCCTGGTCCTGATGCCCTGAATTGTAAAATGGGCAAAGCACGGACAAAAGATGTACGCAAAGGTTGTCAACATCACTGTCATCAGGGAAACCTGAACCAAAACCTCAGGAGGCCCCCGCTAGGACGCTACTGCCAACCAGAGTGTGGGGAAAGGAGCCCTTGCAAGCTATCAGAGGATAGGCAAAGTCATCGTATTCCTACGGGTCCCTCAAAAAGCTAGAAATAAAACTACAATATGGTGCAGAAGTCCCTCTTCCGGGTTCATTCCCAAGGACACCAAGCCAGTGATGTGTGGGCGTCTTCACTCCCACCTTTGCGGCTGCACTGCTTACAGTTGCTAGGATATGCAAACGTCAAGTCTGTTGACAGAAGAATAAATAAATATTGGTATTTACATGCACAGAATCCACCAGAAGATGTATATACCAGAAAAGAAAAGAGCGCATGCATATTTTAGTACTAAATTCATCCAGACACCATGGAGTAAATACGAGTTATCTTTGGCCTCTACAATTGTAAGAGCTTCTCTGAGCGGTGGCCGTGAGCTTCCTTCTGGACATCCGTTAGTACTGAGAATGCTGGGGTGCATGCACCTGTGAGTGTGTGTGTGTGTGTGTGTGTGTGTGTGCACGTGTGCGTTCCAGGTTTGCACTTGAACCCAGCTGATCCCTCCCTGTCTGCTACAGAGGACTGGCTGTTGATCTGCTGCAGGTTGAGGTCTCGGCTTGTATCACTTTTTCACCCCTCTTACAGAGAAAGCCATGGCTCTCCAAGTTACAAAGAACAAAAAACTTAATGCTAAAAATATGGTCACAGTCAGAACACAAGGCACCAATTGTGAGCCTGTGGCCACTGCTGCCCAATCCAGGGCCTGGCTCAGGACAAGAACAGGTCCCAGATGTACTGCTAATGGTCCGTGAACAGCACTAGGCACGGTGCCCCTGAAAAAGAACAAAAAGTTTGGCTACTATGAAAGTTATTGCAAAAACTACAGGGCCGTATGGGAAATTCACCTATGTGTGCACCTGAGCCTAAACCCTGGCCTGAGCCAGATCCTGAGCTGTTAAACAAGAAAAATTAGCCCTGAGCTTGTTTTACTAAATTTAGGCTTCCCCGTTTATGCTCTGTTGCTTCTTTTCTCTCGATTACTGATCTATAAAACAGCATTGGGATAAATAGCAATTATAGGAAATCAAGTTGTCTCCAGTGTTCCCATTTGTTATCTCTTAGGAGAGCAAGGTTTGAAAACAACCGAAGTGTCCATCACCACTTCAATAAATAAACAGTAATGGGATAGTATTCAGCCACCAAGGGAGGAAGCCCTGCCCTTACGGTGACATGGATGAAACTGGGGGGCTGTCTTGTAGTCCTGGAACTGAACCCTGAAGAAAGTAACACTTAATTGGAGGATGATGCCTAGGACTTACTTTTAACCATGTGTGACGTTAAGCAGGTTTATCAACTAGCTCCTGGAGTAATATCAGGGACAGAGAGGTTGTTCACCAGATATGTGTTTGATTAACAAATGGAAGACAACAGTCATGAGATTTAAGGGTACCGGGGTAGAGGTAGATGCACTTTTGACAAGAAAGGTGGTGGATTTTCTCCTGTCAGCCATCGTGACTTTATTCTTTCTTTTAACACTTTTTATGCAGACACATTCCCTCACTGTATTCTTGTGCTCAATTATTTTTATTCTCATCCTCCAGGTAAGCCAAAAAACTACCTCGAGTAAATTATTGTTCACACCACTCGAGGGACGTTAGCATTCTAAGGCTGAACACCCAAAGGCTATAGGGACAATATAAGCCCAGACACTTAATGGGATGTCGTGGCTAAGGAAAGACGGAAAGGCCCATGAGACATTCCCCACTGACCCAGCATCCTGTCCGGTTTTCCCAGGTACCACTTGCTCTGCGACTGCCTTCCATTCTGAAAGCGATCTCCATCTCCTTCCTTACAGTAGTTCTCCTTCCAGTGATTCGCTTCCACCCTCTCTCCTCCCTCCCGCTCCTCTTCCATATTTCCCTATCTTCTGTACCTCATCTGGACATCAGCATTCCCTTTGCCCCACAGAAAGCCTAATCTGCATTATAGATTCCTTTTCCTGTAGAAAGCTGTCTCTCATTACAGATTGGTTAACAGCTACTAGCAAATAACGTCTCGATTTTCCACCTTCCTCTCTCTTCCGGGACTCACATGCGTTCATCCAACCCCTCACAGGGCAGTTTTGAGCATCTCCAACTTGAGCACACCCACGGGCCATCCGCCTCTCTCTGCTCGCCCCCGACCTGGGCTGGTGGCCATGGTTACCGCATCTGTCTTCTGTCCCCTTGCCCTCCCTTCTTCTCTGTCACAGATCGGTGAACTCTTTCTGTTCAGAGCCCCTGGTGGCTGTCTTCCTTGCCCCTGTCACCTCTCCTTTAGTCAGGATGGATGTCCTTGGACTTCGATATGGCAACCACATCTTATTTCATCTTTCTGCCTCTGATTTCATACAATCCCAGTCTATGCCTAATTCCACAGTTAGAATGAACATTCAAAGCCTGAAATTTTTATTTTGCTACTGTCTGGAGCACTTGCTAACCTCCCAGCCACCACTCTAAGTTCCTCAGTGTAATCTCTGTTTGCCTTCACACTTCACACCACTTCTTACCCAGGCTCATTTGCTGCTATAAATCAACCTCTCTCCTCTGAAGCTGGATTTTCCCCACCTACTTAGCAAGCCACACTTTTGTGTCTCCGCATCTTTCTAAAAACTGAAACTTCTGATTAGAAATCTTTACCCACTCTTCCACTTTAACAAATTCTTAATCACCCTCTAAAGCCCTTGCCATTTTCTAGGAATGGTTTGTTAATTCTGTGGTATCTGTCTGCTGCATAATTGCTAGAATGTGCCCACGTTATAGCATACATAGCATTTCACTATTTTGATATGGTTAGATATTTCTCTCCCTATGTATCTTATTCATGTTTCCAAGTTACATTTTCCAGTGCTTTAAATGAAAGAAGTTATCAAAAACAGTTGTTCAGTAAGAGAAGACCTCATCCCAAGGCTTTTGTATGAAAGTTTATTACATCCATATCTGCCAGAACAAAACTGGAATTTTGAAAATGCTGCATATATTGAGCAAAGTCACTTTCTGTAAGTTCATGTGTAGCCAGCCTTTGGTATTTATTTTACCACCATGGAATGTTTTGATTGCCTGGCAAAGGTGGCATTGCCTCAACCCCTCCCTCTCAGTCACTTCTCCAAACTTTCTGTCCTGTACTGAGTGTGAGGTCGAGGAGAGTGAGGAGAGCTTTGGCTTCAAGGTTGGCAACATGCCCTGTGCATACAGCAGGGGTCTTTCTTTTTAGAGCAGTAGCCTACTTGTATTTCCATAAAGTTACAAAATTCTTGACAGTGTTCTTCGCTTCGTTGGCAGCTGACAATTTTGAAATCTGGCTCAGGTTCTGTATAAAGAAAGACCCCACATCAGCCTCCTTAGACTATGTCAAGAATCAAACAGCAGGCATCTCAGACCTAAAGGACATGGTGGGGAAAGAACAAACAATTTAAACAGCAAAAGAAAATACTGGCAAATAGGAAATTGGGAGGTGGATCTGTGGTAAACGGGAAGGGGCTCCAGAGGTAGGGAGGGGAGAGGGGAGGTGAAGGGGAAGAGGCAGAATTAAGATGCTCATGTTCTTGGACCTGCTCCCTACAATAAATATAACAAATGTGTACTGCAGAGCTGTACCAGTAAGAAAGAAGGACATGGTGGCAGTGGCTGGAAACACACAGTGGCTTTCTATGCTTCATGGTTTCAGTTTTAAACTATAAAAGCAGCTCCAGGAATATAGCTCTGGTCTCTCTAAATCTCCTCAACTCCATCACTAACCAAGTGGAGGAATAATCCTCTCATGGTGCCATTAGATGAAACAGCACGGGACAATACATGCTTATTACGGCGGAGCCCATTTATATTTGTAGGGAAATAATTGCATTTCCTTCTCCTTTTTCCTTGGGAAGTGAACCTGTAGTTTGTCCTTTATAACTGGAGGTCCATACCAGAGGGATGGAGGCTAGGCTGGGCTAAAACAAGAATTAAAGGTAGTGAGAGTCAGAGTTGAATTTTACCCTCTTATCATCTTTGCCCACTGAGATTCTGATCTACTTTCCTTGTTTCAGGGTAAGCAATGAGTTTGGGATTAAGGAGGCATCTCTGAAGCTACTGTCTTTGCCAGGCTTTGTGATCAGAAGCTGTCTCTGGGCAGGAGGTTGGGGACAGACCAGGAGCCTGGGCTTGTCCAGTGGAGTCCCCTGGGTCTTGCCTGGTCCTTTGACATTCTCCGTGCCTTCTCATGTGAGTAAACTGGCCACACAGTGTGGCCTCTGACCCATCTCCTGGGAGTGCACCCTGAACATCCTCTGTTACCAGACACTTAGTAGGTACTCAGCAAACTGCCGTGGAGACCTCAAGGCCAAAGGAACAAAGCTCCAAACAGGCAGGAGGAGATTGATCTACCAAAATCCTCTCTGTCTACCGCATCAAAGAGGACAGAAGTAGACTTCAGTAGTTCACCTCTGGGTGCCATGATATCTCCATACCTCACGACGTCCTCGGCGATCCAGCCGAAGCAGAAGCTGAAGGATGCGCACTGCTCACGGCCTTCCTGAACAGGTGGAGCAGATCAAGCCACCCACAGTGCACGTTTCCAAAACCACCATTGCTTATCCCAGCCCATCGGCACAGACGCCCTCCCATCACACTCATCCCACATTTCCACTGCGGACCGTCAAGGCCTGCGCTTGGGCGCTTGACTTACCAGGATACGGGGGAGTGCGCGGCGGTAAGTAGCGTTTCATTTGGTGGTGTAACAGAGACCCGTTTGCTCCTCGTTGGGAAGATGCTTCCTGGGGGATCCTGGGGGGCTCGATGCCTGCATGGCCGAGAGCGTGGGCTCCGGACAGCCCTGTGGAAAAGTTAGTGCACAGCAGGGGAGCTCAGGGCCCTGCATGCAGCGACGCAGGAGGACCAGGCAGCTCTCAGTGGAGAGGAAGGGGTGCGAAGGTGAATTGCGTGGTGTGCACATCTGTGCGTGTGCTGGGGCGTGGAGGGAAGGAAGGAGGGAGAAGGAAAGGAGCGGGGAGGGAAGGGGAGAGAGACGTGGACCTCGCTGCAGCGTGGTAGGGCGCAGACTTTGGGGAGCCCCCTGAGCCATGCTGAGCACCTGCCTTGGTGCTCACGCAGCAGTCGTTGAAATCCCCCAAACTTAAGTTTTTCTGGGAAGGGAGCACGAACACTAAGTAAGAAAACAGAGTCCGCTGACAACCCTCCCTTGGGAACTCAGCGCCAGCAGTGAAAAGCGTCTAAGAACTCGACTGGCTCAGAGACGCTGGACAAAATCCCAACCAAGTATCGGGGCCTCGCTGCTGAACCTGGCCCTCCACACCCACAGCGGAGAGAGCAGGCGTCCGGGCCGGCGTCCGGGCCGGGCCACCCTCAGCTGTACCTGGGAAGAGCAGGGCAGCGAGGAGCAGGCCGGCTGCCAGAGGGGAGGGAGGCGGCCCCATGTCCGCAGGACTGCGCTGTGGCACCGGCCGAGCAGCAGCAGCTCCTTTATAGGCCACGCAGGTGAGTGGGCTGCCAGCGGGAAGGTCTGATTCTAGAAGGAGCCCTGGTTTGGCAGGGTACAGGCAGTTACGTTATTTTCCTGCTGCTCAGAGAACAAACATTTCAGGAACATTTTTCAGGAAGTAAATAATATGCCTGAACGCTTTGGGTGGGTTTGATGAATAAGAAGGAGCACAGCAGAAGGGGGAGAGGTAGAAGGAAGGCACGCGGAAGCAAAAGGAAGGTGTCACTGTCCCAATCACGGTTTCCCCAGTGCTTCCCGGTGTCCCTTGCTGTTTAACAGCACGTGACATGAATGCAGCTGCCGTTCTGTGCCTGCCGTTTCCTGTCCACAGGTCACACTGAGGACCGTGGAGAAAGTCACACACAGCCACGTCCACTCCTGATGTCACTGGGTGCAGTTCAGGGCTGCTATCGAAGGTTCTGCTGTTGAGGCCGGGCCTTCCCTTGTAATGACAGCTAAGGAAATAGTTTTTTCTCCTCTTCTCTTTCATTTTCTTACCGGCCGGAGTTTGTGTCTTATCTCAAGCCAGCACAACCCGGGCAAGGTGTTTCCAGCTAAATCACTGGAGCGTGGCCTTTGCACAGCAGTTCACAATCATGTGATCTCGGATACACCACCAGTGACTTCGGAGAGGGGTCACCAACCCTCACTAAATGTGCTGGACTGGCGTGCACACTTGGGTGAAAATGAGCACAGTACCTTGGAGTATTTGTGTAAATGAAAACTCTTCGACTTTATCTGGAGAGAGGTGAAAGTAGAGCAAGAAAAAGGCAGCAAAATAACGGCAATGTAGACACGCGGGGAAGTATCGGGAAAGTGCAGAGGGCTTCGCCCTGCAGGCCTGTGTGCACGTGAAGTGTGCGCAGCATAACTGTTGTCACTGTTTTCTATATCTCTGGACAGAACCAACAGTGGAGCTTGGAAGTGCTGATTGTGGCTGGATTCACATCATTCCCACCCTTTCAGGGACCAGACAATCTTCTGGTCACAGGAGGACAGTAACAGAGGCAACGACAGAGAGACAAATGCCTGGCCCATTCCTTTTGTTAATCACTCATTCCAGAACATTCTGACAGTTGAGGCTGGCAGAAAGTAGATGAACAAGAAAAGAGATGGAGAACAGCTCAAGTCTTGCTAAAGGTTTCTCTTATTCCCCACCTACAAACTCTTCAGACGTTTGTTTTTCATTCCAGTCTACTTCTTTCTTACAGTTGTGATTACAATTATTTAAGCTTCAAATCTGAATCTTTTATAAAAATGATATGCATATTAGGGGGTGTAGGCAACTTGTTTTCTCACACATTTGTTTTCCTTCTGAAAAGAAAAAACTAAAACAAAAATATTAATAGAGAAAAATCAAAACGGAACACAACCACATTTGAGTAAACACCACCAAATCAAAGAATCTTCTAGCTCATTAATTAAAATCATTTTATCTAGTTTAGCTGAATAAAGGAAGCTGACAATAGTTACATCTCTCTTCTTCTGGGCAGGTCTTCAGACAAAATAAGCCCCCCTCACACCCTTTGAAAAGAATAATGTTGAGAAAGAGGGACCAGTGAAATCCCAGTCCTCTCTTGGGTAGGCAAAAGTTGGTGAAGTCACTACAGAGGAAGCTGGTTCACATGCACATCACAGAAAAATGTCCTTGTTTTCAAGGTGAGCCTGCCCACATCATTCCATGCCCTGGGGAAGCCCCAGAATGAATTGCCTGCTAAAAGCCAGGCTGGTCCTGAAGGGGACAGTGGAAGAGCCCACTGCTGAATACTCTGATCACTGTCTCAAACTCTTTGTCCAGTGAGTGGCATTCCCTTTAAAAAGCTGGTGAGTATGTGAGATCGTGATTCGTTTGGACCAAGTAGGTGAATTAAAGCAAAATAACGGAGACTTCCTTGCCAGAAAAGTTCTGTAGAGCACAATCTAGGACTTCATTTGAAAATGCCAATGTGTCAGGGTGGAAATTTTCAACAGCTCACGCCCTCCTTGTTGCTTCCCAATTGGTAGCTCACTGAATCCTGAGAGATATGAGGATGAGAAGCGAAACTCTACTAGAGCCCAGTTTGGTCTCAGAAGTTTCTGTGCACTCAAATTTTGATTCCTCTATTGCATTATCAAACAACAGAGAAAATTATCCTGGGTGAGAATTACAGATGAATGAAACAATATTCCTAGGGTTTTCTTACTCTTAAACTTCAGATTATGATGGACTGATGAATCTGCAGCAATTGCATATCTATTCAGGCATATGTGTCTCTCTGGGACAACGAATGTGGCATATGGGAAAGATTGGCTCAAGCGCTAGAGCTCTTTCTGGAAAGTGAAATCATGAATAAATAACACGAAATGAGAGAAAATGCTTCTGGGTAATGACAAAAGGATGGGCTTAGAGAACTGGATGGATAATTGGAGGTTTGCTGGTAAGGATGCTATTAGGTATTCTGTTTTGTTTTCTTGAAAAGGATCAGAGTGAATTTTGTCTTCTGAAATCACTTTGCTCTACATGATGTCGGCTGGCCTAAAATATGTAAAAGGATATCAGAAGTCCTCCGACATGGGCTCTGAAGGACCAACACCCGTTTTTTTGGCAATAAAAATTTAATATTGTTATGATTTTCAGTAACTGTTGAGTTTGCCGATTCTGATGAAGCCATCATAAAATTTTAGAGCTGAAAAGTGTCTTAGAGATTACCTTGGAGACTGTCTGGCAGCTACTAGAAGAAACAACTGAAGATGAAGGAGAAGTGATACAGGCACAGGTGTGAATTCCAGGTCCAAGACCAGACCCAGCTGTGCAGTGCACACCCCGAGATGGCTGAAAGGAAAAGGAAGCAAATTTATTTGGAAAAGAGTAGAAATTGGCAGAAGTGAAGAACAGAGAAGGTCACTGGAGACTCGGGCAGGGAGGAGGAGGAAACAGGAGACACAAGTGCAGCTGCGTGGAGCTGTGGGCTCTGGTGCTGCACAGCGTAGGCGGTGACCACGGTTTGCAACAGCGTGTGAAGAGCTAGACACGCAACGGTGAGTGCAGACAGACATGAGTGTGCTAGCTGCCTTAATCTGCACCAGTGCACGTTATATACACAGATCAGATTATCACCCTGTGACACGTGAACATGTAGAGTTTTTATGTCACTTAGAAAAAGAGAAGAAAAAAACACCAATTCTCGGCGGTCACACAGAAAAACGAATGCATATTTGCACTGGAATAGTAACTCTTTCTCCTGCCTGGTCTTTTATTCGTTTTGCCTCAGTTTTCCTCAGTGAGCAGCAGTTTGGCTCCTTTCCGATCCCCAGAAGTGAAAAATGTTTTCCCTTGGTCTCAGTCACGAAGCAGCTCGGCCTCCTGCCCATGCCTGCATCCCTGCACCCACACGTCCTTGGCTTTGTAGTGAGGGAGTCCTTTCTCCTGCCTGCATGGACGGACGAAGGCCCCGCAGCCCCCGCACATGTGTTGGTGCCTCACAGTCAAAGCTGAAGAAGAAACAAACCTACAGGGAAATCCTGACTGACTCCTCTCTCAGTGTCCCCGGGGCACTTCTGTTTGACTCATGTGATAGAGCAACAGTCGAACCCATTCTGGGCCCGACCTGGGCTGCATGCTTCACATTCGCAGTTTCTAGAATTGAATGAGATGTTAGTCAGGAAGCGAGGAAGGGGCAGCACCAGCGCTGAAAATCACTTTCATGTCTCCACTGAGGACCGGGGTGGCGATTCTGCCCCTCAGATATTTGCTCCGCTGATCCTTGTCCATTCTCTCTATCTCTGTCTGTCTCTGACCCCTCTCTGTGTCTCTCTAAGTGATGTGGCATCATATGAACACGCATAAATTATAAACTCAAAGATGCCCACACCCAACCATTCTCTCTTATTTTACTATACCAGCACATGTGTAGTACAGCTGTCTGCGCTCCTTGTGGGAAGTCGGCACACGGACAGAACCCATCCCGATTCCCTTCTGGCCCTGTCCCCTCCTTTTTGGCACACCCTTGCAGGACACAGTGTCTGTACTCCTGTGTGGACTTCGTGCAAGTGCGTAACGCATCCAGATTCCTTTCTCATCCCTCACCCCTTCTTGCCTCTCTCCTCCCTCCATCTCTTGAGCTCCTCCCTCTTTGTGAATGATTTAGCTCCCTGTTGTTTATCTTCTATTTTTCTCTTTATTTTTATTCTGGGTTTGTCATATAAGAGAAACAGTATGATATTTAAGCTTGTGTGTCTGATTTGTTTCACTTAACAATATGGTCCCAAGGTGCATCCATTTCCTTACAAATTATCTCACAAGTTTATCTTTCTTCAATGCAGAGCAGTGTTCCATGATGTGGAAACACCCCATTTTCTATATCCCTTCATCCGTTGATGGACAGATGGGCCGTTTCTAAGGCTTAACTATCATGAATTGTGCTGCTACCATTCTTTGCAGCGTTTTTCCCTGGGCTACTTTCAGAGGGTTACTTACCTTCCACTGTGAATTGCAATTCTCAGCTCTGTTCTATTTTTCAGAGAAAGAAGATTAACAGCAGTGTTAGCGTTGGGACACAAGGCCATACTCATCTCACCCGATGATGACATGTTTTTTTTTCTGCTTGTTATCTCCAGCCATTACTGCTGGTGGCATTGATAAAAGCCTGTAGAAGTCCCTGGCTCTGATCTGTTGTTGAGACACATGAGGTGGTTTTGACCTCAGGAAAGCATCACTCTGAGTTAAGAAAGAAATATATACATATGTGTATAAGGCCAGAGCTTCGGTCTGTTTGCAATGTTGCTAAGCAAAATGGCCGCACTGTGCACGGGAGTCAAGGGTACAGTCGGTGAAGGACCTCAAGGTGACTCGCTGAGCGGCGCCTCTGGGATTCTAAACACCATGCACTTGAACTGGGCATGCTGCTCTGCCTCTGATCTGTGCTCCAGATGTGGTGTGCGGGCGTGAGTCTGACTCTATCCCAG